GCCCTTGTCAACAAGACAATCCTTATCTATGGATAAGGATAATTTGAGGACAGTCAATTTCCTCCATAATATTTCTCTGTTTACTGTGTCGAATGCTGCACTAAGATGTATAAAGGCAGCAAACAGTTGTTTCCCCTGACTGATATATTTTGTTACTAGATGGTTCAAAACAAAGCAGTTATCAATACTGGATCGTCTCTGTCTAAAGCCAAGTTGTTCTTCCGTAAGAATACGCTTTTCATCTACCCAGCTCTCGACTCTACTCAGACGGAACCTAGCATATATTTTAGCCACAGGGCCTATTAGGCTAATGGGCCTGTAATTGCTAGGGTCCTTTTTATTTCCTTTTTTGTATATAGGAACCACTATGGCCAATTTCCACCCAGCTGGGATATGGCAGATATCATTTATATGTGTAAATAAACCTGCCACAAGAGAACCTCACCAATCACGATATTTTTTGAATAGCTTAGCTGGTAGAAAGTCCTCCCCAGGGGCTTTATTGCTCCTTGAGGCTTTTATGATAGATTTGATCTCGTTTTCTCATACTGGTGGCCAAAGAGGTGAGGCTTCAGTAAGTGATAAGTCACTACTTGGAAACTGTTTCTCAACAGGTTCTGATAGAGCAAACAGGTCATGATAGCAGTTTTCCCATTCCTCGGCAGAGATTGGAATATAGAATGCAAATCTCTGTTCTTTCAGGATTCCAGTTACAGAATGCCAAAATATAGCCAAGTTATGACTTTTTGCTGACAGCTCAAGTCCAGGCCAAATTGAGGCAGCATAGCTTTTTTTCTTTGATTTAATGAATTTCTTATGTTTGCTTCTTAGCGACAGCATCTTAGCTTGTATGTGTCCAGAGAGATGGCTTTGTGCAAGTCTCAAAGCTGTCTTTAATTTCTTTCTCATTAAATGGCATTCCTTGTCAAATCTCAAGGAGATTTACCTATAGGGAGACTTTTGGAGGAGAGTTCAGTTACTAGGTGTTTCTTTAATGTATGGCACAAATTGGTGAATGCATTGGAGACTGACTGCCAGTGAGGCATGGGTAACTGCATTATTAAGGCCCAGCTGACAGCATTCTCTGATTTGAGGCTATTCAATATTGCCTTGGTATCCACTTTGGACCATAGTAACTTTTTTTTTTTTTTGACTCACCTCTGAGTTAATAGCAACCCACCTATCAGCCATGTTATATGACCTTAAAACTGAACAGCGGAGATTTTCACACTCACTGGCTAATAATCCATTCCAGGATCTTCCTCACTCATGCCTTCCATCCCAACTAAGAAGATGTATTTGGGGGAATATAAAGGTTTATCAGTATAAGATCAAAGTCTTTATATCTGAATTTCACAGCTAGTATATGAGGGAGTTTATCCCCATTATAGAATTTCACACCCTGACATTGCAATTCTTCCTTAATGCATAAGCCCCCAGAGGCTAGCCCTTTAATTTTTGGGCAGGGGTATGTCTGCATTGAAAACCAGGGAGTTGTACTGGTACATCCTCTCCTGCTAATCAGGTTTCTTGTAAGGCTATTATCTCAAATCCAGAAAGGAATCTCACCAAATCACTGTCAACAGACTCTTTCCAGCCAGCTACATTCCAGGCTAAAATTTGTATAAATCTCTCTGAGGCAAAATGTTCTGGGTGGGATGATTGGATAAAGGATAAAGATGCAGACAGTCAGCTTGTTTCTGGGGCTAGGACAATGTTGTCAATATTTGCCATGTACAGTATACACAGCTTTTGTGAAGTTCAGCTTTCCTTTCTCTAGGCTGTGACTGTTGATCTTCTTTATCGTAGGAGTCATTATTCGACAAACTTTGATCTGGTACTGACGACTGTATATTTTTGAGTCCAGTAGCTACTGCTAATGACAATAGACTCAGACCATCCTTCTCATTTTCTAACTGCTGAGCCTGAGGACAGGTAAGGTCAGACTGAGAGCTGATAGCAGAGAGTTGCCTCAAATCAGGGCTCCTATGGGTAATATTGGCTGGCAATGGTGAGTGGCAAGGTGTGGATGGAATATCTCCTTGAGAGTAAGATCATAGTTGTGGACAACGCTGGGGTCAGCTGGTGGAAGCATTTCTGGACATTGCTCAGACCAAGTAATTTATCTTGAGGGCTATGCAAATTCAGTGACAGCTTCCTGCTGAAAGGAGCCATATCATCCTGCTCCCCTGCTACGCCCAAGAACACAAAGATTGAGTGCCTCTCTGAATGTTTTCCCATCAGTAAGACTCCTTCAATCCTTAGAGAGAGGAAAAATGACACCCTGCATAAAACTCATATTATTCTTAGTAGTCTTCAGAGGTATTATTTTTCCCTTCCAAAAAGATTTCATTTTACCCTTTTTGTTTTTCTGCAGAAGATCTCATTAAACGTTTCCTTCTAGGTGTTCAGTCAGAGGTCCAGTTGGTGGAGTCTGGAGGGGATGTGAGAAGACCTGGAGGCTCCCTCTGTCTCTCCTGCCAAGGCTCTGGATTCATATTCAGTGACTATGAAATGCACTGGGTGAGAAAGGCTCCTGGAAAAGGATTGGAATGGGTGGCATACATAAACTACCATTCCAGTGCTATTTACTACTCAGCCAAAGTCAAGGGACGCTTCATCATCTCCAGGGACAATGCCAAAAGCCAGCTGTATCTGCA